CACACGCAACGATGATGATGAGCAGTTAATACTAGGCAGTGACAGTGAATTCAGTTCAAGTTAAAAACCATTCTGGAATACCACCTGCCAATACCACTGTACGTAGCACCATCAAGGCATGACAAAACGACGAGGGCGCCGTGGATGGCCTGGGGGAGAGCGTGTGTGTGTGTATCTGTCAGCTACAGCAGTCGCTGGAGCTCGCGAGAATCCTGTCACTTAACAACACCCCCCCCCTTCCCCACATCTCAAACAACTACCGTCATAATGCTGATGTAGTGGTCCTACTCACACTATTCGTCTGTCAAAACGGTTCCTAGAAGGCTCGGGTTTCTATGGATTTGCTGAAGAGTTCAAAAATATAAGTCGGTTTACAGGAGTCGCGAATACAGCAGACTAAATGGTCCTCTGTTTCCTTACTTGTGAATTTTAGACCAGCGTTCCTCTTACGTCGGAAAAATAAATGAATATAAAACATTACGAATAATACTGCATCTAATGTTCCAGGATTAATGTAACATGTAACCAAATCATACATACATACAGCCCTGATACAAATTGTGACTGATGATTAATCCTCAATCGTCGCCATTGACTGAAGGGGTTAGACATAGAAAACAAAAGAGCAGCACGAGCACATATACGTATTGACAGTTTCAAAGCACGTTCTTTCAGATTTTATATTTCCTCAGATAGAACCACTGTTATTTCTGGCTTGTTTGATAAGATAACGAAAATCCTACGTGGAGCTCTTGAAACTGATATTTATCGAACGTTATTTATCACGTTATCCTAGTATTAGACAAAGATACAATTAACTTCCGGTTAAGAGATGCTGTACCACATCATTACTGATTAAGTCAATGCATGCAAAAGCATAAGTTAGCCGATATTATTAAACAAATATGACTGTTTAACTTGTCACGACAAAGTGTATGCGGTTTTGAAATTGCTCCATGGTTCCTGGACCACACTGATGTGGTCGTAGAGATTTTTTATGCGTGTGGTAAGTGGGAGAAGTTTCTGTTACACGCCACACCCAATCCCACCCCACTGCCACGTAATGTATCATACATAATGACTTCCACAACCCCATCCCTGTAACACTCAACATTACCATGTACATGGAACAGTACATGAATGTGGCAAAATATTAACTACGCGCTCCGCACAAAAACTGCAGAACTCCTTCCTGCCTGAAGGAAGATTTACAATGCAAGGGTATAGCAACAGGCTCCAGATGCCATACTTATAGACCGATAGTCTCTCTGGAGGTGTTGGACTTTCAACAATAAAACCACTACGTACGCTCCGACAGTGAACAAATATTGTTTGTGCATGCCTCAGCACGTGAGAAACTGGATCAAGTCAACCCTTGGGCCACAGTGGATGGTTCATCGTGTTCTTGGAACGTCTCTTCGCTCGCATTGCTGTAAACGCTCTCTGGGCAACTAGGACATCCGGTCGCCAACTTCGTTCTGTGGGATCTACCGAATGGGGAGAGAGAGAAGTGGCACGACATTTAACGCTGGAAATGGATACATTTTCGGCCATGTAAGCGCCCAAGAAGTTGAGCAGAACGTAAGTCGTGAGTGGAAAAGATACAGAGATTATAAATATAAATATATATAATATATAAATATGCCATCAGGAAAGTCCAAGATAGGCAGGAGGGTTTGCAATTGAATGGGTCACATCAGCTATTGGCGTATGCTTCCATCATCAGGACTATGAGTTGGATCTTAAAGAGAATTATGTTTTGAAGATGGATCTGGTTTAGAATACTGTACTCCATTCCGGTATTAGTAAAGACACATCTTCAGGTCAAAATTTCGACCTCTGGTGACCCCTTACGAGTCATGTACGCTGCTAGTTGCAAGTACATTCCGCTTCTGGAAATAAGCATTATTTATAAACATACATATGCCATGGTAACAGGACCTGTCCGGAAAAGTTCACGCTTTTATACTCGTCAATTTTTCATATCCAGCAATACTGCCTGCGTTATTCCTCATCACACATTCATTCCAGGTCACGTGATCAACAACCCCGTTACATGGCGTACAGAGAAGAGCAGGTCAATTCGATTGCTTCATGAAGCCACTTGCTGATTCGGTCCGTAGTTCATTATAACATAATGGTACAGTTTTCCCGAGAGAATTTCTCCACCCCCGGTCTCGTTTCAACTGAATTTAATATCAGATTCAGAAAGCACCAACGCGAAACACTTTCACACGTAACCTGTGGAAGCTTCACAGGATCCACTGCGAATCATGAGAAGCCCATCGGAAGAACAGGAGAGAGTAAACGCTGTCGACTACGATAGACGGAACTCACACAGGGCGCGGTCAAATAGCGGAAAATTTTAACAAAAAAATTTACCATCGAATTTGGGCTCACCAAGCTTCCTGTCCAATAGGTACCGGGATCCCTTCCCGGGAGTAAAGCGCCTACAGAGCATGTAGTGGGAAAGCTTTACACTTTTTTGCGTATTTCATAAATGACAGGAATTTCTTTTCCAGCCCAGTGATAAACTCTACAAAAAACACTCTAAACCACTGAGGTAGTCAAACTACGCATAAGACGTATAGAGGGTATTAGTGTGGGGGCTTAATACTTGTGGCCCAGATTAGAATCTAGCAGGGAGCTATTCTGAACACGCTAATGATACTTTGGGTTCTGTAAAACATGGTAAATTTCTTGACTGTCTAAGTATCTGGCAGCTTCTCATGAAGGACTGAGTCTCATGCTCTTAGTGAAGCATCTGATTAGACAAATACATATAACGTGAGGATAGGGAATATGACAGAGACCTTTGTGTTCTGTAAAAAACGACGGATGTATTTAACCAATGAAGAGGGCCCCTTATCCAAGGAATTAGAATCGTTTCACTGTATCTGACTTGCATCTTTTTATAATTCCAACACTCCATAGTATTTTGTAAAATAAGGTCACGGCGATATTGTTCAACCATTTGAAGCCGAATGAAATAGCGAGAAGAGTAAAAATCACTACATTTAAAGGGAGAAACAGATATAAATTTACGTTTGCGAAGGTTCCCAGGCAGTGCCCACTCGTTCTTCTGGTAAACGTAGGTTGAAGAGAAGGTAGGACGTTCGAAGTGAAGAAGCCTCACGAATAAAAAAGTGAAGCAAGGAGAAAAGTTGAGCAGAGTTTTAGTGCATTCCATCAGAATTATAAATTTTGATATTAATCTTGGGAGGGCGACATTTTGATGTTAACATTGGAGAGCTATTTTAGGGCGGAATTTTTGTGTTAATATTTTGGAGGAACCCATGAAAGGCAAACAACGCAGCTTCGAATTTCGGTACCTACTCTACATTTTCTCTAGGACCGAGAAAAATCGCCAGGGAACTCAATCGATCTGGTCGCTTGCAGTCGAAAAAAATCGCCAAGGAACTCAATCGATCTGGTCGCTTGCAGGACCTTATGGATGTAGCTACTGACTTCTAGACAGCAATCGGACATTTAATATCATATTTTCATCTCCTTTGACGGGAGCGTAAGAGGGTAAGTTCCCTTCCTTACAGAAAATCCCCCACAAGCTGTTTCCTCATGGGAAATAAACAAGTCCCACGCACGTTCCCAACACCTTATTTGCGACCAAACTAACTGGCAACCATGACGATCTGTAGTTTATCACTATCCACTTAACAACTAACATCTGTTTGCTTCATATATATATCCCATATATTCACTGCATATCTTATTTCATTTGTTTTAATTTTTTTGTATGGAATTTGTTATTCCGATCACAGTTCATTATCATAACCGTATTTTTACGAAGGTCGCCTGTCCCAGCCCCTAACAATTTGATGTATGAGTGTTTGGTGTGCCGGGTTGAAGCCCAGATAGTTTTAAACGTGTAAATTGTCGGCTCGTGCACACAAATATGCATGAGGGCCACGTCGAGAGCCGAGAGGACACCCCCCCACCCCGCCACGTTGGGGTGGCAACTAGCACGTACACTAATTAGCAATGCAACACACTGGACAGCTAGTTTACAAAATGGTGTCTGGTACATTCGTAACCTGTAGACTGCAGCCTGTTATGGGTTGGAATGAGGGAAGTTAAGTTATTTTTAATTTCATAGTTGATTTACAAGAAAACCTGCTCATAACGTAGTACGAAAGTACATCATAAGTTTACCATTTAATACTTCGAACTATCAAGTTCGACTAAATAATATCTAAGAATCAAGTTTTCCATTTAATACTTCGAACTACCAAGTTCGACTAAATAATATCTAAGAATTCGGTCCATACCACAAAGAAAACACGATGTGATCAATTGGTCAGCGCTGTTTGGGGATATAATCGCTGTTTAATCCGAGAACCATACAAAATCCACAAATACACTCTGTAGTCAAAATGCAGAATGTCTGAATGTATTAGCAGGTGGCACGTATAGTGACCACTGGACTCCAAAGTGCACACACTCATGTATTCTGCACGGTCCAAATAAAGTCATAAACACACAGGTTAGCTAAACTGGGCAGTTTTCTGTTACCTCATTTCTCTTTTTTTTATTTTAAACCTTTTGAGTTATCTGATAATGCAAGTCCAGAAAATAGTACGGAACAAAATTATATAAACAGAACACAATACATGTTCAAGCAGAATATATTCCGTTGCATTGTTGTTTTTTTAAATTTATTTATCTACGTTTCTGTTTATTAGACGTTGTATAACATTCTTTTCATTCTATATTCACAGGCTCCGCAGACATCTTCAGATAAATTATATCCTGGTTTAATTTTCGTCCAAGCCGACACAATTTCTACTGTATAGAAAATTCTAGTCACTTCACCAGTTCATTCTGAGAAGTGTTAGCAACAAAAAAAGTTTCAAAAATATGCTTATTAGCTTTTTCATGCCCGTCTGTCTATATGCAAACAGTCAGATCGTCTGACAAAGTAAAAATGGCTATGACAATTGTGGTTTGTTTTGATTGTGATAAAGTACGGGATTAACACTCACATTCGCCAGTTCTCGTGCACTTTGCGTCTGTCCGCCGTCACTGCAAAGAAAAAAATTAAATTAAATGAAAATTTAAAACAGTACCACAATCTGCAATTTCGCGGAGCTGCTATACTCACGCAGTGTCAGGGAATAGAGTTGATTTTAATACAACCGCCAAAAATAATTATTTAAATCAGAAATTATCAACTAAACGAATAATTAATGATTCCAGTAATCCGAAAAGGGAAGACGCTAACACAGTCGAATAATAGGAGGAGAAGCTAACAGATAAGTGGGAACTCTTTTAGTTTCAGAGGGGAAAGAGCATCATTTTGCTAGACGGATCCCGGGCTTTACACGTTCGTCCTACTGGTGAGGACAGTACGAAAGTGAAGAAGTTACGGTGGTAAAAAAGTTATAACTTTATATTTAAACACATATTTCGTCCTAAAACAATTAAAATTAAAATTAAGCCCCTTCCTCAGACAAAAGTAACGTGTATTTACAATGACGTTCAATTATTAATTAATTCTGTTCAGGAAAATAATGGCTGTTTAATATAAAAATAACATGAAACCCACAAATAAGCTCTTTGGAAAAAAAAATCAAATTATTCATCGTTAATATATGTGGTACATATACTTGCCACCATGCTTTCAAGAATCAATTTTGCGTTATTAGGCCAGCCACTGGACTGTATTCTAAGACACAAGAGTTCAGCCCACAATGACCCATTTCTACATTACGATACAATTATTTTATTAACATCGTCTTTCTGTTATACGGGATACTAAAGAGATCATAAAAATGTCAGCTATTTTCGCGCTACCTGTGCCGTGAGCAATACTTTCTGCTTCATAATAGAGTATTTTGGAAATAAAAAAATGGGAATCATAGGAAACGAAAGAGGGGTGGGGGTGGAGGGGAGGGGAGTTAAACGGAAATATATGACGATTAAGAATCAACGCACAGCCAAAAATAAAGGGACAGGGAGCAAACTCTAGAATCTGAGCAAATAAATC